AAAGCTTTTAAGGATAAAGGAGAGTTGAGCATGTTTGTAATAAGCAGACAGGTTCACAAACTTTCACTTGAGACCCTCCACACTCTCCTTTATCTCTGCCCCCTCCCATTCTTGCTATGTTTTTTCCAATTCTACCCCTACATTTGTTGATAGCCTTCTCACTTGTACAGACACCACCTTCTTTCAGGCCCTTACTGTGTCTATCTAGACTACTGCTTAAACAGCCACCAAATTTGTCTCCTTGATTCAAGCCAGTATCTTTCTTTCTTTCTTTTTTGGTGAGGCAATTGGGGTTAAATGATTTGCCCAGGGTCACACAGCTAGTAAGTATCAAGTGTCTGGTCTGAGACATGTTTGAACTCAGATCCTCCTGAGTCCAGGGCTGGTGCTCTATTCGCTGCACCACCTAGCTGCCCCCTTAAGCCAGTAACTTTCCTTTTCAATTGATACTTCACACAATTGCCAAATTCATATTCCTGGAGGATAGGTCTCTTTGTCACTCCTTTGTTCAAGTAGCTTTGTGATGTATAAAAAGTTTGAGAGATATAGTTTCTGGGTAATTAATCATTTTATTAATCATGGTAGCAGATAATTAATAAAAGAGGTCAGTTGCACTCTCAAATGCCAAAGACTCCTCATAGAACCCACTCAAGGGCTTATATGCCCTTGGAAGAGTAGATCTTCCTGAGGGTAGTGATCAACTCTGATTGGTTAACAATTAATGAGAAGAATGGATATTATAATGAGAGGTAGACTTATTGTAATGAGGGACTGGGGGAGATGACTGATCACTCAGTCTTAGACAAAGAGACATCTCTTATGTAGACTACCCCACCTAGGGCAATCAAGACAAAAGAGGGTCCATCTCTACTCAGACTGGCTAATTAAAACATAGGTCATATTTCACCTTACTTAAAAAATTCTTTGTAAGGTTCTCTAGGTGGGTGGGGTCTGCCACCCAGGATAGAAAAGCATGTACCCTAAGATTTGGGTAATCTCATCTACCCACAATGTACTTCAGAAACTGAACAACCTACAGGTTTCTGAAAAAATCCTGGTCCTAATTCAATAATTGATTATTATTAATATGAGAGAAATAATAATTTCTCTCAGTTTCATGATTCCTTATGTCTTCCAGTATAAAATGCAAACTCATGTTTGACATTTAAAGTGCTTCATGGGGCAGCTAGGTGGTGCAGTGGATAGAGCACCAGCCCTGGAGTCAGGAGGACCTGAGTTCAAATCCACTCTCTAGACCAGACACTTGACACTTACTAGCTGTGTGACACTGGGCAAGTCACTAAACCCCAAGTGCCTTGCCCTGCCCCCCTCCCCCAAAGAAAAGTGCTTCATAATCTGGCTTTGACCTCTTTAGGCAGATTTCACCTTACTGCCCTTGAGACTCTCTACAATTCCAGTTAAACAAGGGTACTTACTATTCACTGTACAGAACACTCTGTCCCCTATGTTTAGCATGCTCTCCTTCTTTGCTTTCCTATCTTAGAGAATCATTTTGTGTTCTCAATCTCAATCTCAAGAGATATTGTCTTCCCCCAAGTTGTTAGTGCTTCGCTGACCTCTGAAATTGCTTTGCTTGTATTTTAAATTCACTTGTGCATATGTTGTTCTTATCCATTCATTCCCCTACCCCACTAGGGAAATACAATAAGCTTCCTGAGGGCAGGGAGGGACTGTTTCCATTTTTCTTCCTATTCATAGTACCTGGCATTGCCTGGGACATAGGTAATAATGGATACTTCTTCAACTGAATCCTCACTTTTGGGGATCTCACCCCCAAAATAGGTGTGAGTGATATTTGTAAGCTTTCCATTTGTTTGGCCATATTTCTGACCTACTTCTAAAAGGGCTGTCCTCTAAGAAGATTTACCAAGACCACATAGGCCTAGGCTATATACCAAGGGAAGATTCCACAAGGAAAGTCACAGCTAATTAAAAGGCCAAGAGATAACACAGTGGATATCCTGAAGCAGAGTACAAAGATAGCTGGTCTTCTCACTGAGAAGGCAAAAGTCAAGATGGAAATGCAGAGCCCTGAAGGGAACATAAAAGGAAGAAATGAACAATAAGAGGGTGAAATCTCTATCCTTGGACACAGGCCTGCAGTATCCTGTGGAGGACCCAAATCAATTCATCAAAATCATTTAAGAGATTCTAGTAGGTTCTTTAATGAAGGACATAGAGGTGATGGAGAGATGAGCTGGAACTTCCCTCAGTATCTGTACCCTTCTCACCCCTAGAATATCTCTCCACCATGTCAGTCCTCTTGATACAGTTTAAGGGCTCAGGGGTGCTGGGACTCCAATATCACAACACGCGGGTCCTGCCCGAAAGAATTCAACCTAAGCCTTCTTTCAGCCAAAGACAAGGTTTATTAGAACATCTGTCATATTGGGCAGACTCAAGGAATCTGAACATTAGTAAGCTATTGGCTAGATTATAAGAATCTGACCAGTGGCTAGATTTTAAGAATCTGAGCCTTTTAATGGAAACAAGATGGACCTTATATACAGAATGACTATGGGAGGGTTCTGGGAGTGGCCAAGTGGTCTATGAGGTAATAGAACTCTAGGGGTGGCCAAGGGAGAATGGAGCCTAGATAGGATTAAGGGTGGGAAGTGGCCTGGGGCCATGGGGAGGTATGGAATTATAGCCTCAGGAGAACCCCAGAGATTTGACATGTGGGAAAGTCCACGGTTTTTCTAGATCTAGATCCCATCCTCATCACTCTTTTCCCATTGGTGAATTTCTTGGGAGTGGGAGATTCCATTTTGGGGAAGGTCAGGCCAATCTGTGCTTCATTCTCCTCCCAGTTTTGCTCCTTCTTATCTGTCATCCGCCATTAGAATACAAACTCCTGGGGTAGGGGCTATCTTTCTTTTTGTTTGTATTTGTAATCCTGTGAATAGCACAGTGCCTACCACATAGTAAGGGTTTCATAAATGGTAGTCTGTCTGGAGGGATAATATATAGTGAGGGACTTTTTTTTTTCTTTTCAAAAATTAAGATATGAATATTTAATGATATTCCAGAGCACATATTATATAACAGAACTCTGACATCTATTGACAGGAGGGGAAAAATACATTAATGGCTTTCTGCAATAACACAGTTTATGAAATGACAAGATGGAATTAGTCTGCTGAAATAGTTCCCTGACAATCCAAATCTAGGAAAAAGCCTGTTGAATGTACCTTTTGTTGCAAACTAAAAAGAGAAACACAGAATGGGCAGGTATGGATGGCTTTTGATCTTTGTAGGAAATATCCAGGGAGGAAGGAAACATTTATTATGAAGTGCCTAGTAGGTGGCAGTCACCGTGTTTTGTTGTTTACAAATTTATCTCATTTTACCCTCAACAACCCTGTAAATCAGGTGCCATTACTGTCACCATTTTGCAGATGAGGAAACTGAAGTAGACAGAGGTTAGATGACCTGCCCACGGTCACTAGCTAATGTCTGAGGCTAGATTTGAACTCCTGACCCCAGCCTATGCACTGTACCACCTAGCTACCTCTAAGTATCTTAATTAGTAACCATTTGAGTATATTAACTATTCAGGCATAGCTAGGCCCCAGAGGATACAAAGACAAAACCAAGTCCCTTACCTCAAGGAACTTAGGTTTTTATCTGGGGATATAATACGTAGAAGTCAATACTCAAGACACGCAAACTGATTGAGGGGCAGGAGGAGGCACTGACATATATATATGTATATATATATATATATATATATATATATACAGAGGAAAGAGGGAGGAAAACAGGAAAAGCCTTGCAAAAAGTAGCACTCGAACTTTACTTTGAAAGTAGGAATTCCAAGGTGTCTACTCCAGAAATGGAGGGCAGCCTGTGCAAAAACCAGGATACAGAGGAAGTAGAACTGTCCCAAAAGAACAGCAAGAATGCTGGTTTGGTCAAAATGGATCCAGTCATGTGCAATAAAGCTGGAAAAGTAGACTATAGCCTGGTCATGAAGGGTTTAAATGGCAGGGAGCCAGCCATAGGAGCAGTGCAGAGAAGAATCAAAGGCCAACATAACTCAGCCTTGTCAGGACTGCCTGTAGAGCATGCAACCTTCAGAGAGGAAACCAGGGCATACTTATTTCCATGCTAAAAAAAACCTTTGCTACTGAACACAATCTATTACATGGGAGGAAATGCCTACCCTGCAAACCATGACAGGACAGTGCTTGACTACTCCAAAGAGCCAATGAATGGGACCCTAGCCACCCTAGATGTTCCCACTCCCCTTTGCTGCTTGCTCCATGGCAAACTACTTGGGAAACAAGGCAGCATGAAGACCCTCCTGCATTCATTCATTCTTATAGTACAGTAACACAGGGAGTCCTATTCTTCTATTTCTATACCTAGTGCCTAGCACAGTACTTTGCACAAAGTCCTTAATACTTTTAGTTTCATCGCTTGTATTTTTTTTCCCTCAAAGAAAAGGGCATTTTTAATGGTGTCTGAACAGGGCCAAGCAACTTGACTCAAGAAGACAACTTAATTATTGAACCAGCAGAGATGGTATAAAACTTCAAAATAATTAGGAAGAGGGAGGGGTCAGGTAACAGGACTAGTTTATTTGTGAACTCACTGATTTACTTTCTAAGACAATACTGGCAAGGGACTAACTGGAGTTGCTAATTATGCAAGACTCAAGTCATTATCTCCCCTTTAAGCCCTCAATTAGCTGCTCTTAAGACTTTGTTTTCCTTTGTAGGAATCCTCAGGCATTTGACCATCTTTTTTGGTAACCTCTTGGATACAAAAGCTTTCTACTTTGGGCCATTCTCCCAGGTTTGAGTTTTTAACTTGGGAACTGGGGTTTTCTAAACCAAAACCACTGCTATCGATGGAATCAAGTGAAAAAAAATATGAAGAGAATTCACCTTAAAATGCCCAAGAAAAGGGACCATGTGTTTCTTCATATGTCTTGACAGTTTCATTCCATATTATAAATCACCAGAACCACAAAATAAGGAGTTTTATATATAAGGTTTTATTTAACATTTCCATGTCATTTCAGCCACTCATTATACCAGAAGGAGAATTATGTTTAAAATAACAATAATCAAGTCAACAGGGAGAAGATGAGTAATTACTTTCACTTATCAAGTAGCAAATCCTATTAGATTATTTTAATTTGCATGATTAAGCCACCCAAATCTCTTAGGGAATGTGTACTGGCACAGGGAACCCAACATGAATTAATAATTATTCTTCTTCAACCAGGAATCAGTTCCTCCCTGTGCTGGTAGCGCCACCTTATTGAATCCTTCTGCCCTGCCAGGAGTTTCATGGGGGACAGGTTTCTGGGCTTTTCATCACTGTTCCTTCACTGGGGCCAAGGCCTTTTGTACTTCTGACCTCTTTGTAAGCTGCAGAAGAAACAGAAGCAGAGACAAACTTGACTAAGGCAATTTAGTAAAACATGACATTTCAAATTCAATCCAAGCATTTGATTCAGTGGCTTCTCTGTGCCAGACATTATGCTTGGCACTGAAGAGATAGACAAAAGCTATCTTTTTTGTATCAGATACCCCTTTAGCAGTGTGATGAAAAGTATTCAAGTGCATAAAATAAAATCCATAATATAATAGGAAAACAATTCTATTTAAATACCATTATCACAATGTTAAAAAAAAAGTCAGAAACCTAAGGCAAACCCTTGTCAGGACTAAATGGATTGTTTTCCTCCTTAGTTACCTTTTGAGGGCACACGATTTTGTTTTCAATTTTGTTTATCTTATCTTTGACTTTAGGGCTCCAAAATGCAATAATGTAAAATACCTACCTTAGTAACCACCCAGGAGAAGTATCACAAATCACATGAAGTCCACATACAGGTGCTGGTCCTGGTAGCAAAGAAGAGAATGACTGGATCATAAGAATCACAGATTTAGAGCTGGAAGGGACCTTAGACGTCATCCAGTTCAAACCAGTCCTTTATAATGTCAGGCAACAGGGACATAGAGCACCAAAGAGTGGGAAAAATAAATATACATGTGTGCACCTAGACTAGGACTAACTTCATAAAGGAAGTTAATCCACTCTCAGTGGTGCAAAGCACTATCTAAAGGCAGTCAGCCTTGGCACTAGAACAGTGCCATGTGACAAGACCTTGGTGACGACAGTGCATTTCTCTCCCAGAAATGTAACACTGTCACAGGCATGGTGTTGGCCTGGACAGCTGACAGTTACTGGGTAAAGCCTACGGAGCTTTAATTGAGACTCTTGGGTACCTGTGTACTTCCGGTGTCAGATTTCTCTCAGAAGGCTAGCTTTCCAAATGGAAGGTTAAACGATATTTTCACCTGGCAGAATTACCCCAACACTCATTCTTATACATATGGACATTTACCTGAAATCCCTTGTCGTGAATGGTTTCATACCTATGGGGGCCACCAGCTGGCTTGATCACCCTAAGAATGAGCACAGGAAAGGAAATCATTAATTTGACCTCAGGTCTTCCTGACTCCATCCCTTTAATCACTGTACCCACCAACCTGCTTCTATTTGAGGATATTGAGACTTGATGAAATTAGGTGATTTGCCCAAAGTCACATAGGTTAAGAGGTTGAGATGTGAACCCAGGTCCTCTAGATGGATTCAATCATCACTAAGGTTTCTTTCTAGTTCCAATTCTTACAATCCTACTGCTGACTCATTGGGAACAAGTCTAGCTTGAAGTGCTCTCTAAAACTGATGCTCTGGCAGATCTAAATCTTGTCACCGGGCAATGAAGGCAATGTGATGGCGGACTGGTGAGGTTATTCAAATTAGTATGGCATGAACCAGCTCCAGTGTACCATCTAGCCTTGGGCCGCTGCTCTCCCAGCAGTGTAACACTAACCCAGATACAGACCAACTGGGAAGCTGCCTTACTGCTGGAACAGATGTGGGCAAGAGAAGATCCCACACCAATTGTGATTCTTGAATCCCAGTAGGCAGAAAGACATCCATGGGGTTGTACGCTGCCTGGTACACTTGCCTAAAGGACTAAGGACCACTATCAAGTGTTTCTTCTATAATGAAGAACATTCCAGCTAGTGGACCTCATAAGTATGAGGATCAGGGCATAATAGAGATTCTAGCCTCTGGTCCCAGGTTATGCCCTGATCCTCACAGGCCTTCATTTTGTGTCCCCAATCTAGGTGAATAGACTAACTCCTCCTACCCTCAAATTCAGCTTCATTTAAAGTCACGTTCATTTGCACAGAAAAGGGAGGAGGGAGCCTAGGAACAGACGGCTGAGGATCTGATTTAATTATCAAGAACCTCAGAACATGAAAGTTAAAATCAGTATTTATTAAGCACCCGTTTTTAAGAGCACTGGTTTCAGTGGATAGCGAAGACAGTTCAAAGGCAAAATTCTTGCCCTCAAGGTTCTTTAATCTTTTAAGGGCGGGGGTGACACACAGGATTCTCAATACACCCCAAAAATGCATTATGTGTTAAATGAGAATGAGGCGGGATGGAAAGGCTCTAGCAGTTGATAAGGACTTAACACGTGGCCCTAATGTAAAGGCTCCTAAGGCTACACCATAAGATTTGAGGGTGGGGAGGACCCCAGAATCGGGGTTTGTTTCCACTCGTTCTCTTCAGCGCTTAGTAAGAGACATTGTTCTGCTTTACGTAAAAAAACGGCGGGGGCGGTGTGGGGGAGAATGTGAGGGCAAAGTGAGCAAGCCTGGAGACGGCAGAGCCCCCCATTCCCTCGGTCTGCAGAAAGCCCGGGCCATGCAAGAAGGAACCCCTACTTTCCCCGCTGCACCCTCCCTCCTCTGCCTCTCAGTCCTTCCTCCCTTTAACCTTAGGCAGGCTTCTAGGTCCCCGTAAGGGTGCCATCACTTACCCCCACGTGTAGAGGAGCTCGAAAAGACATGACCTAACCGTCCGAGGCCACTGGAAAGAAAGACCGCAGTGAGGGCTGGGGAGCTCCGCCCCGGGTTCTACCGCAAAGGGGCGGAGCCAGCAGAGGGAGGACCCTGCGTAGGGTTCTGCAGAGGGGCGGGGCCAAGGAGCAGGGCTCCGCAGAGGGACCGGGCCTGAGGAGCAAGGACTCTGCAGAGGGGCGGGGCCTGAGAGGGGCTCTGCAGAGGGGCGGGGCCAAGGAGCAGGGCTCCGCAGAGGGACCGGGCCTGAGGAGCAAGGACTCTGCAGAGGGGCGGGGCCTGAGAGGGGCTCTGCAGAGGGGCGGGGACTGCGCAGGCCTCTGCAGAGGGGTGGGGCCTCTGGGGGCGACCCGGGAAAGCTTGCTCAGCCCCAGGGTAGAGAAGAGAACAAAAATGGGTGGGGCGAGTCCTAGCCCTGGTGGAGGTGGGCAGACATGCATGCATGCGTGAATGCGTGTGCCTTGGTCATGATAGAAGGAAGGCAGGCAAAAACCTGGACCAGGTTCCCCACACTCCAGACTAGAAAAGGACATTGAAAAAAAGCCAAAGACTTGTGTATGTTAAAGAACAGTGCCATGTGACAGATTACACAGAGCCTTTCAGCTTTACCATTTCTTACTGCAGGAAAAAGACGAGATCTAGTGTGTTAGAAGTCATTTAGTGACAGCCCAGACAAGTGAGCAGCGATCGGCCTCAAAGCCAGGGATACCTAGGTTCAGGTTTCACTTCTGACATATACCAGCTGCCTGATGTTGGACAAGTCACTTAAACTCTTAGGGCTGTGGACAACTTTCTAAAACTACAAAGCTACAAAGAAGGTGTAGACCTGCAGTTGACAAAGGGCGTTTCCGCTTGTTACAAGAGTTCCCCATAGCTATGAAAGCACATATCCAGTCTTACCACCTGCTCCTCCCTCCCCTCTCCACTGGTACTTCACCCTATTCAGCCAAAGGACACACCTAATTCCTGTCCTTGAGTCCATCCTTAGTCCTTGCCTAGGTATTTTCATCTCCTTCTTCACCCTTTCCCTCTTTCCCCTCCTTTCTTCTTCCAGGCTAAGTGTCATTGTCTCTCAGCAGTGGATTAATGTAAATGGCTTCTGAGATTTCTTTGGGAGAGTCCCTCCTCATCACTCTATTTTCTTTCTCTGCACTCAATTATCTTGTTCCTTTGTTCTTGTATTTGGTCCTAGTTCCCTTGAGGGACCATCCTGCACCAACTCAAAGGGACCATCTTTCCTTCCCTAGTCATAATGACATTTATATAAGCTGTTTTTCTCACAAGAGACAAGTTTTGCAAATAGAGACCTAGAAGGAAAGAACCTTAGGCATCTAGGCTTTCTTGACCACGGGGTTTGTGGATGGATTTCAGAGTGCCCATGAAGTTGGATGGGAAAAAAAAAATACATTTTTATTATCATTTTCCTCAATTGTCATCTTTCTTGCCTTCTCTGTAACCTTTGACACTGCCTATCACCCTCTTCTCCTTGATACTCAATAAACTCCAGTGGTTTCCTATTACCCCCAGGAGCAAATAAGAAATTCTGTTTGGCATTCAAACCGCTTCATAACCTAGCCCCATCCTACCTTTCCAGTCTTATTACACCTTACTCCTCAACCACATACTCTTTAGTCTAGTGACACTGGCCTCCTAGATATTCCACAAACATAAGACACTCCGTCTCTTGGCTCCAATAATTTTCTCTGGACGTCCCCCATGTCTGGAACACTCTCCTTCTTCCCCTCAAACTACTGATCTCTCTGGCTTCTTTTAAGTCCCAACTAACAACAACAACATTTCACCTTCTACTGGAAGCCTTCCCCCAATACCTCTTAATTCTAGTGCTTTCCCTCTTTTAATTATTTCCTATTTATCCTTCATTAGCTTGTTTTGTATTTGTATTTGTTTGCACCATGTCTCCTCTATTAGATTGTAAGTCTTGAGGGCAGGGACTATCTTTTGCCTCTTTTTGAATCCCCAGCAGTTAGCACAGTGCCTGGCACAGGGTAGGCACTTAATAAATGTTTATTGATTGATTGATTCTCTCTCTCTAGGTTTTCATGACACTACTATCCCTTGGTCCTCCTACCTGAGAGATATAACGAATATGTTTGTTTCCATAAATTTAGAGAAGTAACTAAGTAAAATAGGATACAGCAGGTCTTCTCTTGTTTTGCTGATAGAAGTTAGCAAACAGGACAAAAGTTAAGCTTTGCTTGGAGTGTGCATGCTTAATAGGCTAATAAATACTAATTTCTCCACCTCCAGGAGGGGCTAAGACAACCTTTTCTGAACATGGGATGTATGAAGAAGGAGGAATGACATGTCAAGGAGTAGATGTGTAATAGGTATCCTGGAAAGTTGTATACTCTGGAGTACTCAGCCAATGATGAAACAGGAGGGACTTTGTGGCTGGGATTAGAGATAAACAGTGAACTTCTACTTTGGTGCAATGTGTACTAGTCCATAGGACATCTGAAGTTGCAGCTGTGTAATAAACTGGGCTTTTAACTTCGTCCCTCCTGAGTCCTAATGAGTTATTTCTCACATACCTAAGCCCTTCTCAGTCTCCTTTACTGTATTTTAGTCTGTCACCATAAGTATTGTATAGAACTCTGTCCTGGACTCTATTCTCTCCTGCCTCTATACTATTTTACTTAGTGATCTCATCAGCTCCCATGGATTCAATTATCATCTCTATGCTGATGATTTTCAAATCTACTTATCCAGCCCTAACCTCTCTCCTAACTTCTAGGCTAGGGGTGGCAGAGGTGGGGCCTCAAGGGCTCAGGTTCCCCACCCTTGTTCTAGGCTTTTATCTCCAATTGCCTATTGAACATCTCAAATTGTGTGACTTGTCATTACATCACTCCCACTTACTGCAACAGCCTGCTAGTGGGTCCCCCTGCCCCAAGTCTCTCCCCTCCCTAGTTCATCCTCCATTCAGAGCCAAAGTGATTTTCCCAAAGTGCAGGTCTGATCATATCAGCTCCTCCCCCCATAAATTCCAGTGGCTCCTTATCACACATAGGATCAAATAAAAATCCTCTGGAATTCGAAGCCCTTCATAGCCTGTGCTCCTCCACCTCCATACCTTTCCAATATTCTTATACCATACTCTGGAGCCAGTGATGTGATACTGACATTCTCTGCTGTTCCTCAAACAAGACAATCCATCTCCTGACTCCATGCATTTTCTCTGGCTCTCCTTCATACATGCTGCCTAGCTTCCTTTCCGGGTTTCCTTTAAATTTCAGTTAAAATCCCACCTTCTACAAGAAGCTTTTCCTGATCTTCCTTAATGCTAATGCCTTTCTCTGTTGATGATTTTCAATTTATCATGTATATATCCGATATATGTCTTATTTGTATATGGTTGTTCACATGATGTCTCCCTCATTAGACTGTGAGCTTCTTGGGAATAGGGACTGTCTTTCGCCTTTCTTTATAACCCCAATGATCAGCACAGTGCCTTGCACATAGTAGATAATAAATATTTACTGACTGACTAATTCTAACTGAAATTTAGCATTCTCTCCATTTGTTTAAAAACATTATTCTGAGAAGAAGTCTGTAGTCCTTACTAGACTGTCAGAGGGGTCTATGACACACACATACACACCAAAATTAAGAATCCATGTTTAAGTTCAACCCTTTCATTTTACAGACCAAGAAATAGGTTCAGAAAAATCAAGTGATTTGTCCACGGTCACATGGATAATAATTAGATTTGCAAAGTTCTTCACATACATTTTCTCATTTTGTCTTTACAAATCAACAAATGCTACAAATCAGAGCTTGATTATTGTTTTGTTGATTGTCTAGACTTAAGAAAATGATTGAGAAAATGTCAATAATGTAGATTAAATGTAAAAGTATGTTGTGTGAACATTTTTTTCCAGATCTGGTTGTTAAACATTTATCAGGATATCCCTGATATACAGTATCCTGTGCCAAGAATTATCTCAACTTGTGATCAGCTCCAGAGGGTTCAGTTTTAATCTCTCAATTTCCCGATGCATCCACCACAATCTCTCCTGAACTCCAGTCCTGTATCATCACCAACTGCCTTTTGGACATCTCAACTTATATATCCTATAAGTGTCTCAAATGCAACATATCTGAAAAAGAACCAGTTATCTTTTCCTCATATCCTCCCCTCTTTTTATTTTTTTTAAGGTTTTCAAGTAACAAGCGTAGCTTTTATTCACCTGTCTCTCCCATTATCCCTCAGTTAAACAAATTTTAAAAAACAAACAGAAAACAAATCCCCCTCTATGTATCTATAAAACAAATTCCCACATTAGCTATGTCTGAAAATTAATTGTCTCTTTCTGCCTTTTAAGTTCCTTACTTTTCTGGCAGGAGGTGAATGGCCTTGTTTCATCTTCATTCTTTTGGTATTCATAGTTTATCATCAGCTTGATATGAACGCTAAAGTCTTTAAAAAGTTTTTTCTTCCTTAAGAACTTCAGGGGCAGGTAGGTGGTGCCGTGGATAGAGGACCAGCCCTGGATTCAGGAGAACTTGAGTTCAAATCTGGCCTCAGACACAAAACACTTGCTAGCTATGTGACCCTAGGCAAGTCACTTAACCCCATTGTCTAGCCCCCCCAAAAAGAAACTTTAAAGATTTTTCTCTATAATATTATCACTGTGTAAAATGTTCTCTTCCTACTTCTGCTCACTTTATTCTGTGTCAGTTCTTAAGTTTTCCTACTTTTGTCTGAAATTGTCCATTTAATTATTTCTCATGGCACAATAAAATTGCGTTACATTCATATGCGCCAATATGTTTAGCTTTCCATTCCCAATAGGAAGGTAAACCCTACCTTCTTATAAACTTCCCTATTACTGTCAAGGGCGCTATCATTCACCCAGTCACTCAGGCTGACAAGCTTGGTATCATACTTGGTGCTGACCTTTTTTTTTTAGGTAATTGGGGTTAAGTTAGTCAGAATCACACATCCAGTAAATGTGCACCACCTAGCTTCCCTTGGTGTAGACTCTTAACTTACCATTAATCTATTACATTCAATCTATTGTC